TTCTGAGGAAGGGTCATCGGACCCGAAACGTTAACTCTGTTTTTTCCTTCACACATGCTACCAGACCTGCTGAGCTTTTCCAGCAACTTTGGTTTTGTTCCTGATTTACAGCATCCGCAGTTCTTTCAGTTTTTATTATATATAGTGATTTATTGGAACAATAAGGAAAGCAAAATACTTGCCTGAAGCAGTCTGCAAGGTAACTCCAGCAGGGACCTGGATTGGAAGTCCAATGCCAGAAGGCAATGCAAGAGTAGTTGTAGCACCTGAAGCGTTCTAAAAGAACAAACAATACAGTGTTAAGGACAAGGAAAACCTAACATTTAAAAACAATAGTATGTTAGCTCACAACTCAATGATTAGCCTTCAGGCAGCCCAAAGCGCTGAATTCTGAAGATGGGTCTTTGATCTTGAAACATTAACTCTGTTTCTCTCTCTTCAGATGCTGCTAGATCTGCTGAGTTTCTCCAGCATTTTCTGATTTTATTTCAGATTTCCATCATCTGCAGTATTTTGCTTTTATTCTATCAAAGCAATGTAGGTTATACTTTAACACAAGTACTCGGAACGTGCAAACACCATATACACAAAGAAAATCTATCTAGCAGGACAAAAACTGAGTGGAGTTCAGGTGTAGGGTCTCCAGGATAGAGAGTTTAAGTGCCATCATTAGGAAACATACCAGAAATCCTTTATGCCCAATGCAGAAAATGAAATTTATAACATACAAATATTTAATAAAATTATTTATTTGTAGATAGGGGAGTGCTTAATATTAGACATACTTCTTCAAACAAATAATTAACTGGAGATTGAAATTTCATGCTTTAATCAGAATTGCAGGACAAGCCACAAAGTTCCCCGACAAATGGAGACTATTTTGTGTAGGAAAATCCCTTTATTGTTCAACACAGAGTTCTCTATAGTATATGCAATAGTGATGAGAGAGTGGGATTTGCCCCAGATCAGCTACTTAAGACTTCTGCTGCAGTACAAGAAGGTCACACTATCCCCACAAAATTAACAAAGGACAAATTATTGCACAATGCCAGCACACATCAACAGTAATTTACTGCACAGCTACATGAAATACCGTAGAAGACCGGTGGTGAGAAACAACCTAAATTCAGTAGCCTCTAAAAATGAGCATGGGGCTGCTATGCATAATTAACCCACACTTTTCCTCTGAAGCAGCACATCAGATTTGTGCTGATTAATTTGCATAATTGGCACAAATAGCTAATACCAACCAGGTGATTTAAGTGGCTGCACACTTCATTATGTTTGAGGGGGGTTAGCACCACTTAAAGCTAGTCTAGGTCTCCTGTGGCACAACAGTAGTGCCCCTATTTCTGGGCCAGGAGGTCAGGGTTCAAGTCCCTATGCTTCACAGGTACGTCATAAGATTTCAGAACAGGTTGATTAAAAATATCTACAAAATTTTTCTGAAGAAGGGTTCTGACCCGAAACGTCAGCTTTCCTACTCCTCTAATGCTGCCTGGCCTGCTGCATGCCTCCAGCTCTACATTGTGTTATCTACAAAATTTAAAGCTTGCCTAGACCTCAAAGGAGAACATAAAAAATATGAGCAGGAATTCAACTCAGTAAGTCTGCTGCTCCATTCAAAAACAAAAAACACCCTTGATATTAACTCCACTTTCCTGTGAATTCCCACAGACCCCTCAACCCTGTTATCAATCACTCCCAATCTAGCAACACTTGGATGTATAAAAACCACGCAGACTACAGTGGTTCAAGGAAGTAGTTCCCTGATGTCTTCTTGATGAAGAATTATGGATCAACAATAAATGCTACCCTTACCTGTGACACCCATATCTCAAGAATGAATAAAAACAAATTCCATAGGGATTACAAACAGATCAATAACCTCTCACACTTGTTAATGATCAGTGAGTTCATCTTCAGGTGCCTTAACCAACTAAGCGAGGATTGACCAGGTAGGCGACAGTGAGGAAGGTGGTCTTGGGTTACAGGAGAATGTAAATGGATAGGCAGATTAGTGGCAGATGGAAAGTGTGAGGTGATGCACTTTGGAAGAAGTGACAACGAATGGCAGGGCACTAGAAAATTCAGAGGAATAGAGGGATATTGATATGCTTGCCCAAAATTCTTGGGTGACAGAGTAGTTTCCTAGGGTAGTTAAGAGACACTTGTCTGTATCAGTAGTGGCATAGATTATAAGAGCAGGGAGGTTATTTTGGAGCTGTACAGGACTTTGATTAGGCCATAGCTGACTAAAGTCATAGGGCTTTCAAGGAAACTTTTACTTCCAGCATTCCTCCCAGAATGCTTCATCACACCCTCCCTCCAATAAGCCTCATCTGAACAAGCACCCCCATAAATATCGAGGTCATTGAGTCAACGTCACAACTTGCCTTTGTGGAATTTTCTCTCAGGAACCCTGGCTAACAAATATACATCATTACGAATAGCCTACAGTATCCATCCAAACTTTAAAAATAAACAACTTGTCTAGTGCTTTTCACAACCGCTGGACATACTTGGGATTTGTAGGCATTGATGTACAAATAAATATGACAAAGCAGGATTGATTATCAATATAAAAACTTACTAATTCTGCAGATGTAAAATTCTGAACACTTCTCCCAGCAGGAATCACAATAGAAGCTGCAACAGAAATTAAGAAACAAAACTTGGATTTTACTAAATTTCAAAATGTAGCTGACAAGTAAATCTAGCAAAATTATAGATCCACAATTTCTTAATGGCATTGTCAAAGAAGAAAATACGGAAAGCACATTAGATTAAATTGAACTGACTTGAAACTGTTAATGGAAATGGATTACCGAGGGACAGGTTTTGCAAATAGTATCAGAATAAATTCACCATGTTTCAGAGAGGTTAGCACCACTTAAAGCTAGCCTAGGGCTCATGTCCCTACTTCTGGACCAGGAGGTCTGGGTTAATTCTAATACTACTCACTTGCCCAGATGATCATCTAGGCTTTTGAAAAGGAGGAATTCTTGGAGGATCTAAAGGCTTAATTATGCAATCTATTTCACAGACATGGTCAAAACATCCAGGTCTTATTTCAAATATAGACAGTGTCATGTTGACAAGATGAAAGCCCCCAGATAGCACGATGATTCAGTGAAAGCAGCTTCTCCTTCAGGCTGCAAAAGCCACGGGACTGTTCCTTTTCCTTAGGGGGAAGGAGGAGGCCAGCCTGGACTGAGACTGTAGAGGGGTCAATAGCTGCAAGTAAAGATCCTGAATCTAGTGCTGAAAGTGCATTAAAGATCTCCATTCCTCTGCCAAGGTGAGTTTGCTATACCGCTTTGCCATTTGGGACTTACATATGCCAGCACAAGGGGCCATGCTTGATGGAGAAGTGACCAACCAGTCGATGACACAAAAGATCAGGCAGTTTATATGCTGCCAGAGGCAAGATTACATTTCAGTAAGAAGAATAGCACAAGAATACTATACCTGGCAACATAGCAAGTGTTGCAGCTGCAGAAAGGGGTAAGGGACCATCTGGTGGAGCTGCCAGAGGTTTTGCGCAAGTGATGGAGGACTCCATCCAGCCACAAATACTGATATTTCTTTGGCTTCCCCAATTGAAAAATTATCAACATTCTTGGAGAGTCAGATCCAGCACCAGTCAATGGATGTCAGAAGTGTGAGCAAACCTGCTGTCATTGCTACCTCTGCTTTCAGTTCATAGGCAAGGCAATGCATTAAGGAGAGAATGTACTAGGAGACTTCACTAGGTCCTCATATCTCCGAGATGAGCAAGGATATACAAACGTACCTTGAAACAGAAGAGCAGCATCTGCCTTCCATTTCTGAGGCCTCTTCTCAGCATATTCTGATCTTGACTTGGCCAGCTCCTCAGGCCCTCTGTTAATACTGACACTACCTCAAGTACCTCTCAGTATGATGGGGCCTGCCAGACCTTCAGTCGAAGAATTGCCACCTAGGTCATCTCAAGATTAAGGGACAGCAAGATGAGTCGTCTGTCACCAGCTGCAACAATAACTTCGTAGGAACACCATGTAGGAGTATATGTAAAAGATTTAAGAACACGTTGTTGCACTTGGAATTCAATATGAATTCAGTATGTAGATGTTGTGTTCCAAGTTTGTTATGCTGTTCAATAAAAGGCTTCCACATCATTGCTGCTTTTTCTTTCAATTCTCATGACCCTATGAAACCTCAACTCCAGCTTGGCTTCCTCAATCAGCTGAAATTAATGCAGTGAGTCACATTTATTAGCTCTTCAGTCTTCCAAATGCACAGAGTGCACCTGGGTACTAGGTGATAAAGAGCAAACTGAAGGAGGTGACAAAAGGACTAAATAAAGAGAATGTTTTATTGTTTCACAATGGTCATAAGGGTCACAAGTGATATCTATATTTTAGTGTATCCTCAGCCTCCCCTGTCTGTGGTTTATGGAGGTCTTTATCAAGCATTACCTGGTTAGCTGACCTCCAGATCAACAATGTAGTAAGACTTGGGATCAATAAGGTATTCATTGTCTACTTGTAATACAGAACTTGAGTATTTCTGAATAAAAAGACACATTTGTCAAAGCTTTTCATCTTGCATTCATCAGGACATTTCAGAAGAATCAGTGCAAAAGAGAACAAAACAGTATGTGTTGACTGGTTGGCAAGCAGACTGTGATTGATAAATTCTCCGCGCCAATGCCTCTACCAGTTAGATTAGGACTGAAGGTTTACTGACAGGCTATGTTTAAATTTAAACCAGAAGTCACTCGACACCAGGTTATAGTCTAACAGGTTTATTTGAAATCACAAGCTTTCGGAAAGTAGCTCCTTTGACAGGTGAAGGGTCTATGCTCCGAAAACTTGCGATTTCAAATAAACCTGTTAGACTATAACCTGGCATCATGCGACTTCTGACATTGTCCACCCCAGTCCAACACTGGCACCTCCACATCATAACCTTAAACCAAGCTCTGATTGGTTTATTCCTCAAGATAGTGCCTTATCTAGAGAATGATTGTCACCTATTTTGTTCAGTTGAAATAGGTGCAGTGTTCTTTCTGCCTGCAAAGAACGAGACTTTGGTAGTTAACAGTCACTTAACTGGCACATTCTATGTAGCAACACTTCTACCAAAGTCCACATGCCAACTAATCCACATGCTCTTCTCACACTTTGTTTCTCTTTACATTGGTATTGTTGTGAATTATCCTGATGAGTTCAAGATAAAAATAATTGACAAAATGTATCTTTATTCAGCAGTACTCAACGTCTTCATTGTTCAAGCCTAAAGTGCCAAACTGTGAAAAGCGCAGAAGACCGCAATGAAGAAGGATACCTGCTTGCTGAGGAAGACAGAAAAACCCCACAAGAAAGATTCAGCCACCTGAATAGCATCTTCAACTGACCTATGGCCCGCTTGATGGTTACTCGGGATGTCTCATGGCAGGCGTTGCAACTATGCTTTGCATCTATAAGTAGTTTCCTTACAGATTTAAACAACCATGTTGGGTAGGTTCTGTTTTCCAGTTTCCATCTCTGAAGGTGCATTGCAGAATCAGAGAAACTGTGGCATCTGGTAGACATGTAGACATTGTGGTTTCTTACTGAGAACTGTGCACACATGGAAAGAATCACCTTTTAGTGGTCATGGACCAGTTGAACACCAAGCAAGAGGGACATCTTTCTGTTGTAGAACAGCACTGATTAGCTTGTGGGAGGCTGGATGTCCTCACACTTGTAATCAATGACACCTTGCACCTCAGGAATTCAGAAACGGCCCCAAATCCAGTGGACATCTCCACCTCACTGGTTGATACAGTATTACAGGCAGGAACTGATCCTTCTGAACAGGGTATTGGTCACGTCCTTGATGCATCCAATGTACCACAGACTGGGAGACACCATGTATCTTCAGCAGATTCCTACAAAGACCAAAAAGTATGGGAGTTGAAAGCAATGGAGATCTCTTAATGCCACTGTCAATGGGCGGCCATCACCCCAATGGGTTTCAGCTCATCCTGCAGTATAGCACAATGATCAATGGCTACCTCTTTGACAGTTGCAGTCTTTGCAGACACTATAGGTCAGATATCTGGACAGTTCAACTTTGATTAATACATTTTCTCCAAGTTTAGCATTTTCTGCATGTTAAAGATTATTGGAATGCCTGCCACGTCCTTCTCTGATGTGCCTATTCCAAGGCTGGCCCTTTGATGGTCCTGAAGTTGCTAACAAGCCACTTGAATGGCTGAACAGCTTTCACTCTCAGCTACTTCTCCTCCTCAAGAGAAATCCAAAGTTTGGATGGCCTTGAAGATCTAAGATTTTTTAACCAAATAGAAATACCTCACATTGGTTCTTTTGGATCAAGTTCTATTGCCCAGTGCCATTCTGGCAGTAGACCCCAACAACGCTAAAAACTTTTCTCCCTTTTGCCATTGCCTGGCAATCTCTGCTCTGCATCACCTAACCTGACAAGGCACACAGACTGTCTCAATGACTGCCGAATGCTAGCTCTGAGCTCTCATTTCCTTGTTGCCTCCGTTAACTAGGCAAAGCTCTAAACCTATGTAGTTTCCATGTGCCATCAGTAAAATCAATAATGCATGGTAAAATTCCAGTTAACTAGTCTTTTAAATTCCTTAATTGCATTAAATTCCCTTTTTTTCAACTTGCAAAGTGAGGCCTCCATGCTGGGTACCATCAGTAAAATTCCAGAAATGACGAGATAATGTCAGACCTTGGGTTCAAAATGCTCCAAGGGATATTAAACCTATGCATTCCCTCCGCCTCCCTCGCTCTAATTTTCAAACACATTGAAGCAGTTCCACGCAATTCAGCCAAAAGTTGCAGTGCCAGTGTCTATATTGAGAAGATCACTAGTACACCATCCTAGATCTTTTACTTTAAATCTTAAAGCTTTATCTTGTTCTGCATTGCTTAACCCAACGCTGTAGAAACATTGTTAACATGGAAATCACAAATAGTTACTATGACTAATTCTGACATAAACTCGGCATATGAAGAATCCTGAGAGTCTCCGTTCAAAGTGAATTTATTGTCGCTGAACAAAGTGCAAGTTATCATCCTGAATTTTAAGTAAACAGTGACCGAATCTTTTTGAATATTTCTCAGAATTGATAGAGATTTGTACAAGATGTGTCAAGTTTTAATAAATTTGCTAAATACAGAATTTTGACAGCAGTGTTTCAAATTTAGGTACTATATGTGATGGCTACACCACATCTGGAATTTTGTGATTAATATTGATTAAATAGAAATCATGGTGAGAGTACAGAGAAAAGCATCAAATGCAAAAATAGTAAGTAATACAAAGAACAGGTAACAGAAGCTCATCACACTCATGGAACCATATGCTAGCATATTAGCATCATTAGGACAAAGTTCTGTAATATTGATAAAAAATAATTTATCAAATCTTTCCATTACTTCAAACAACTTTCTTCTATACAAACTCAATTAAAAGATTTGGCCAAATGTTGAACTTGAATTGCAACTCCGTGAGACTAGTGCCATAGCTGGCCATAGACATATGTCCATCTTTCCTTTCTGTACCATTGTTCCTGGGCAGTAAGTAGAAAGACCTGCTGATGCTGAATATTTAACAAAGTTACTTTTCATGATATTTTACACTACAGAATACTTTACAGAATTATTTCCAATAATTTGCTGTCAAATTTGTTCAGTGCTTAAGTGGAATAGATTTTCTAAAATCTCATACGAGAGAGAACTGGCCAGTCACATTTTCAAGTTTGGTCTGAATTTCCTTGCATTCTAAATTAATAACGAAATTAAATGTGAAAATCTATCATCCATGTCTGATGCTACCAAAGTTCAATGAAGTCCCCACCACTTAAAGTGGGTTCATTAATATCAATGCAATTAGTTGTTGTAAGTAAAAGCAAAATATTGCGGATGCTGGAGATCTGAAATATATACAAAGGACTTTTTTTTTTAATCCATTCGTTGGATAGGAGGATCACTGGCTGGCTAGCATTTATTACCTGCCCCTATTTGCCCTTGAGAAGGTGGTGGCAAGCTGCCTTCTTCAGCTGCTGCAGTCCACCTGCTGTGGACTGATCCACAATGCCACTCAGGAATGAATGACAGGATTTTGACCCAGCGACAGGGAAGGAACAATGATATATTTCCAAGTAGGGATGATGAGTGGCTTGGAGGGAACTTGCAGGTGGTGGTGTTCTCATGAATCGGTTGTCCTTAACTTTCTTGATGGAAGTGGCCGTGGGTTTGGAAGGTGCTGTCTGAGGATCTTTGGTGAACTTCTGCAATGCAGAAGTTCCACAGATAGTGCACACTAATAGTCGGTGGTGGAGGGAGTGGAAGTTTGTGGATGTGGTACCAGTCAATGCAGGCTGTCCTGGATGGTGTCAAGCTTGAGTGTTGTTGGAGTCCTGAACCCAAGTTGGAGCTGTTGGAGTACTGAAGAAACTCAAAGTCTGGCAGAACTTCTGAAGAAGAGCCACACTGGAATCAAAACGTTAACTGTTTCTCTCTGTACACATGCTGCCAGACCTGCTAAGTTTCTGCAGCACTTTCTACTTTATTTTAGTTGTTATAGATGTTGGAGAATGCATCATCCTTTAGATCCAGAGAGAGGACAACAAAAGGAAATGTCAAAGTCTGGGAATGAAACGATTGTCAGCAACACATAACTGAAAACAGTGAGCACAAAGCAAAATCCTCTCCAAATATTCTGTGTGTACTACCTGTGCCCGAATCTGCTCCTCCACAACTAATTGCTCATTAAATCGCCAGATAGAAATGCCTCCTGATAAGCTGAGACCCAAAACAAAAATAGTACAGCTAAAGACGGTGAATGTTCCATGCGCAATCTGAATAACATTTATGATAATGAAGTGGGAAAAAAAGTACTGATCACTGAAGTAATCAACACACTTATTTGTGTTATACGCAGCAACTTTACAATTGACTTCGGTGGAATTGACAAACGGTTAGCACCATTTACTCAATATAGGCAGCTTTTCACGATAAATGGTGGGAATGTTGTTAAGTAAATTCCCCTAATGGTGTCCTAATATTCATGTCATTTGATTGGCGCATTCAGTATAAACTGGCATCCAATAATCAAAACGCTCAATGGGAATCAGAAGATCTGTTTCTCTCTTCTATTTGACTGATCCACCAAACTGTAGATCTGGTACTGTTGGATACATAATTATCACGAAACAAACAAACATACCTGCAAATGCCAATTCACCAGCAGAGACCTTAGGTAACCCATTTTTCCAATATTTACCCAATTTGATAGCCCATGCTCTGCTCTTTGCCACCCTAGACAACACACACATATCACACAATCATCTTGCTTCCTTTCCAAGAGGTTATTTTACGTGATGCTGGGAAAAGAGCTCCCTCTTCAAGTCTGAGCATTATTATACTCCAGTAAGCTAGGTGAAGGACAGAACTAGAGCCAACGTTTGCACATTTTTAAAAGAATTTATTGATAGAGATACAAATCTGTACCTCCTAACTCCAACAATCACAGTTTCAATACTGTTCCCATTTAAATGATGTTTGTCCTTAGCAGGTGGGACTTAAATGCAAACTTTCTACTGTGAAGGTAGGGGCTCTATCATAGGTTCTTGTACCATGTTGCTCCTATTCTTTTTTTTTAATGCACTTAATTTTCTAATCAACCTGTTCAGAGAAGTTATTATACACCTCTGGAGCACCACCGTGGTAGGGCGGATATCAAACAACGATGAGTCAGAATACAAAAAGGAGACAACAGGGCTTGGTGACATGGTGCAATAATAACCTCTCTCTCAATATCAGCAAAACTAAAGAACTGATCAAAGACTTCAGAAAGAAAGGAGGAGAATACAACCCCATCTACATCAATGGAGCTGAGGTGGAGAGGGTTGAGAACGTCAAATTTCTAGTAGTGATGATAACTGAGAACCTGTCCTGGACTTCCCACGTATATGAGACAGTCAAGGCGGCACAACAACGTCTCTTTTTCCTCAGGTAGCTCAAAAAATTTGGCAAGTCCATAAGGACCCTCACCAACTTTTATAGATGCACCACAGAACGCATACTGTCCGGGTGCGTAACAGTCTGGTATGGCAACTGTTCTGCCCAGGACTGTAAGAAATTACAGAAGGTTGTGTGCACAACCCAGAGGATCACAGAAGCCAGCCTCCCATGGACTCCATTTACACGTCTCATTGCCGCAAAAAGGCTGCCAACATCAAAGACCCATCCCACTCCGGTAATGTTCTCCTACCACCTCTTCCAGCAGGCAGAAGATACAGAAGCTTGGACACGTGCACCAGCAGGTTTAAGAACATCTTCTTCCCTGCCATTATTAGACTGATGAATGGAATCTCTAACTTCAAATAATGCTGATCTTGTTAATGTTGATTTTGCCTCACGCACATCCTATGTGGTGTAACCTGTATGCCTTACTCTGTCCAAGTTTTTTTTCCACCCAATGATCTATATGCCCATGCTTACTATGATTTGCCTGTACTACTCGCAAACAAAGCTTTTCACTGTACTTAGGTACACTGACAATAAATCAAATCAAAAGTGGGACCTGAACCCAGTCTTCTCGGTCTAGGGGTAGGGCTCAGAAGTGAATTTCCTGTTAATGCCCACCACCTGCTTACAATTAACATTCAATTAAGAAACAGGTCTTGGACTTTCTGCAGTCTCACTCTCCCCAAATTCTATAGCCGAGTCAGGGTCTGCTCGAAGTGACCACACTGCTATTCCATTCAAATAGGTGTTACCGCATTTGGACAAAAAAGTAGTACTCCATAATGAAGTCTTCATTCCTTATACAGCAAAGTATGGTCTTAAGCCAATAATATCTGATTTGTAATGTAATAGAAACAAGGCTTATGGGGATAAGGCAGGAAACTAGATTCTGCCTCTCGATGCATTTTGGTACATGTGCCTGTGTTGCAAAACTCCTCCACATCCATAACGTTGAGTCTATCAGGGGTGTGGTGGAAATAAACAGTACTTTAAAAAAAAAAATGAGGTCATTTATTTTAAAGCATTGCTGTTTACTCCAGGTTTAAAATTTCTCAAACACTCCACTCTGCTTTTTATCATTCCTTTTGTTCCTAGGCCACAAGATCAGCGAGAGGAAATTTTGCTCCTTCACCAGTGTAGCAGAGTAGAGGTCCAGTAGCCTTGTAAGATCTTTCAGAATCTTAATTTCAGCTAGCACAGAAGGCATGTTACTTAAATAAATAATAAACACATTTAAAAAGATCTATGTTGTAATTTGAACAAACCTGATGATGTGTGTACAGTTTGAGTTTTCTGCTGCTGGAGTTCCAACATGATCTGCTGATGATTATTTTCCCTGAAAAAGCCTTCCACAGCTCTGGACTGCAGAAGTTTGCTCTCCCAAAGCTTATTGCATGAAAGACAAGAGAGCAAAATCAATTACAAAATGGGATTTAAAACCTTTTAAACAAGATTCAGAACTTAATGTCCCTAAAAATGAAAAGCAAATAGCTCATCAGTGCAAGACTACTCCAAAATTATATACCACAACAACCTAGCTATAAAACTTAAGAATCATTTTCCTGAATGGTCTACTTTCTCAACAATGAACAGCTACAAATAGTTGGATCAATAGATTTCTGTGAAAGTATTAGTACATACGGGACAAAGCCTTGAATGGTTAAATGAGCTACTTGTACGTTCTAAAAGGTGCTGAGTGCAAGGTTGCCTTCAACTAGTAATATCTCAGATTGTTCCTGATTGGTACACAGGATCTAACATGATGTTAAATATTACTCCCTAAGACTGTTAAACAAAGAGAAATAAAAATGCAAATGTTGAAAATACTCAACCAATCAGGAAACATCTGTGGACACAGAAACAAACCTTACAACTGGGAAACGTTAGAGTTGTAATAGATTTTGAACAAGTTATTTTTTATTCATTCATGGGATGGAGACTTCACTGGCTGGGCCAGAATTATTGCCCATCCCTAGTTGCCCTTGAGAAAGGTAGTAGGAGCAGCCTTCTTGAACTACTGCAGTCCATTTGGTGTAGGTACACCCACAACACTATTAGGGAGTTCCAGGCTTTTGGCTCAGCGACGCTGGGGAAGTTGCAGATCCCACATATCTGTTACCCTTGTCCATCTAGACGGTAAACTTCATAGGTTTGGAAAGTGCTGTCTATTGAGTCTTGGTGAATTTCTGCAGTGCATCTCATTGATGTACACTCTGCTACTACTGGGTGGATGTGCTGCTGCTTGAAAGGGAAAAGAAAACTGAAACATGCAGAGGAACAAAAGCAAAATGGGTACCAGAGATTATTAGTCTAAACTAAGTTCAACATTGAGTTCGACAAGGCTGTAAAATGCCTAATTAAAAGATGAAGTGCTGTCCCTTGAGTTTGCATTAAGCTTCACTAAATCAGTGCAGTAAGTGGAGGAAGCAGCTGTCAGTATGAGAGCAAGGTGGAAAATAGTAAAATTGCAGACCATCAGAGGTTTGGGATTACTTTTGCAAATGCAAATTTCCTTTTGAGTTGGAAGACTGAAAACCATAGGTTTGCACAGGAAATTAAAATATTAATTTATATCATGTATTCAATATAAAAGATTTTACAACAAATCTACCTAGAAAGATTAGCCAGACAATGTAGGCAGTTAGTACAGAAAGGAGTTACAGGGGAATTGGATAGATATTGGAGGAAACAGAATTGGTAGGAGTTATTTTCAATATTTTGAACAACCTTTGCAGTCCTTTAGCTTCCTGTCACAAAGGTATATTTTCTCAACTAATTTATACAGAATGCTACTATGCACCTATCACCCTGATTTTCATCAATTTCCCCATAAACGAAGTTCAATATCCCTCCTCTCATCTTCAAAACTCTTCAAACTATGATTAGACAAGGTTAATATTAAAGTAAAAAATGTCAAACAGGTCAAACTGAATTCTGTTACATTCTATGTGGCACAGTAAATATGAGCAAAACTGTGGATGTAGCATATATTGATTTTCAGAAGGCATTCAATACAATCCTGCACAAGACATTCTGACACAAAATTAGGTATCATGGAATTTTGTTAATATATTAGCATGGATTGAGAAAAAATAAAACTCAGGAAACAGGCAAGAATAAAACAAACGGTCATGTTAAGGATGACATGGTGTAACTAATAAAACGCCACAAGTATCAGTGATGTGGAGGTGCCGATGTTGGATGGGTGTGGACTAGGTCAAAAATCACACGACACCAGGTTATAGTCCAACAGGCTTATTTGAGGATACAAGCGTTTGGAGTCTCGCTTCTTCTTCAGGTGTCAGAGAGGTGGCATCGGACAAGAATTTAGAAGCAAACGATCAAAGGGTTATAGAACTAATGCGATATGTTGAACAAACCTAAGATAGCTGTAAAATCTTTAATCAATTAGAAAGGATTAATATGCAAATTTCAGAATTTCTTTCAAGTCACTGACCAGAGATAGCTGAAGGCTTTATCAGTTCCTTCAGTATATCAGAGGTGACATCCCAGGTCAGACAATGTATTTTATGTGTGAGGCCTTGTTTACAATCTGGCTATGTAACAAACTTGGAGTCAGACTGGTTTTATTTCCAAAGTAGGAATTTATAAAATGCCACATTGACTGTCTACAAATTGAGAGCTTTTTTGAACAAAGTAGAATGTATCTGCAATTACAAATCTGCAAACGCAAATTCACCCCACAGATTTGTGAGAGAGAGAGAGAGAGAGAGAGATACAGAAAGACAGATAGAGAGAGAGCATGCACGCTCTCGCTTTCTCCCGCACACACGCACACAGAAACACTCTCTCTGTCTCCCTCTCTGATCCTTTGATCTTTTGCTCTTAATTTCTGTGTCTGATGCCACCTCAAGGAGCGAGACTCTGAAAGCTTGTGTCCTCAAATAAACCTGGTGGACCATAACTTGGTGTTGTGTGATTTTTGAACAAGTATCAATGATTAGGCCTCAGCTATTTACAGTCAATAAGGTAAAATGAATTGGGTGTGATGTATCCAGGTGTATTGGTATTACAAAGTGTGATGAGAAAGGAAATTGTAAGGAAGACACAAAGAAACTGAAAAGGCATATATAGTTAGGTTAAGTGAACAGCAAGCACATGGCATGCGGAGCATTATGTGGGAATAGGATGAAAAAAACTGTTGATTATGTTTTAAGCGGTGATAAAATGTTACTGTTCAGATCAATTTATGTGCTTTTCTATGAGAAACACAAAGATAGCATTTAGGTACAGCGTGCAATTTGGAAGGAAACTGTGTGCTGGCCTTCATTGTAAGTGAGTTGTATTACAAGACTAACAACATTTCAGTCCAATTCTATAGCACTACATATGGATAACATTTGAAATACTACGTATTCTTCTGGTCTCCATTTATAAGGAGAGATATACTTGCCTTAGAATAGATGAAATGACAATTCACTAAATTAATTTCTGCTGTGAATAGATTGGCCTGAGAAGTGATTGAACAGAATGGACTTATAATCTCGAGGTTTGTACTGTCCTTCTAGTTTTTATGCCCGGGTCAAGCAGTTTTATTGCCATTCATACAACTGGCATAAGTTTATAAAAGTAATATTTAGGACAGGAAATTTAAAATTCTGTGACAGTACCTGCTTTAAATCCTTGAGAACATGATCATCAATACCTTCCTCAAGGAAAAAATCATGTATGTTGCTGATGACATCCTCAATAACAGATTTATAGAGTCTGGGCTGTAAAACAAAAATCAGTATGTTATTAGCTGTCAGACCTTTATTCACAGTTTTAACTTTTATGAAGTTCACATTATTTTCTTCCTTTTTTGTACATGAGGTAGCAATACAACAGGAGACAGCTGGAAGCAAACAGAGATCAAACTTCTCATGGGATTGCTCACAGCAGTGACATAAAGTGGATCGTAATGCATTACCAAAAGGCAAGTCCTAGACTTCCTACTGTCTGTTTAGTTTCAATATCTACGTTTCAAAAGGATGATCAACTCTGCATTTGGAGTTTTGTTATCAAATCCTATATTCTGGAGAAGCAGAATGCAATAATGCATACTGAGATGATTTGTCTGGGAAACAGAGATCCAGCTCAGATATGTCGTACTATCGATTACTGCTGAAGACACAAATAAAATAAGAGGACAATTAATGAATTCCAAAACATCTAAAGTTGTTTCTTAATTGACCCCAGTCAGGTATAAGAACCATCAATGGATTTCTACAACTACTCTGACCTGTATTTATCTCAGCCAGCATCAATAAAACAGATTTTCTGGTCCTATATGTCATTATAGTTTGTATGACTTTAACTGCATCAAGTGGCTACCTGTTCTCCTACATTACAAACAGTGAACACATTTCAAGGCTACTTAACTGGCTGAATGGTACTTGGGACATCAAAAATTCTTGAAAGGAACTACTGAAATGCAAACATTTTCATTGTTTGAAACCGACATTGGGAATCTCAAAATGTGGCACTGAAATTGAATCAATGCAAGGCATTTTCCGAGAATACCATTTTGTCAACTTTCAGGAGGATGCATGAACATGAATAATCCAATTTAAAAATCTCAAAATCTAGTTAACAGCAAGGATATATGTAAAAGAGTGAAATACATTTTAAACCTTCCTGTGTACTTTAAAGGACCTTATTGTTTTTGTTGGTCTGTAGTTTAATAGCTCTTCTTTCATCCAAATGTTTAGTAATTTGCTTCATTTCAGATGTTTAGCCGATCACCAAACGAGAAATTCTAGAGTCAATTCACTCTCAATTGCACGATTTGGTGACCCAGAAACAGGGATGCCTTGCATCACAACCTTACCAGCCATGTCTGCAGACTGGTCCATGAACTGCAAATTTGTATAACTTATTTCCCCTTTTAGTTTTTCAGATGCTCCACTTTGAAATAACCAGCAAAGCGTTAGTCTTAAACAACCTAAAGGTTAGTTTATTGCAAAACTACTGCTGCAAGTTATTCAGTAAAATTACAAGTTATTGTTTAAAATATTGATAAAAAGATTAGAAGTAGATGCAGATAAAAGAAATATATAAAGAAGAAGATAAGATCACTCGGTCTTCATTGGAGGCTATTACACGCTCGAGGGCTCTCTTTTCAAGGTGGAACGGCTGAAGACTAAAAGTCAGAATACAGCAACTGCAACAGCTTCTGTAGTTGAATAGTTGAATGTTCCTCCCAGACTCCTTTATTACACTTCTTTCAGCACTGTAGGTTGTGGTCCTTGGTAGCTTGGTTCATTGCTCTTCCCAGGAATCAGTGTCTGTTAGAACCTTTTAATCAAGGCTCAACCTGCAAATTAGCCTCCAGGCCTGGCCTTGTGAACAAACAAACTTGCTTGGTCTGTTCTTTTCTTTTTAGCCAAAGCTATCCCAAAGTCCATCAGTTGTTTCCAGTTCATAATTCAAATTGATAAATGAATAAAAAATGATGAAAGATCAGGATGAGTTCTAACAAACCAGACAATGATGAGTCTGTGGAATTCCCTGCCACAGAGAGCAGTTGAGATCAAAACATTAAATGCTTTTAAGGAGTTAGATATAATTCTTAGGGATAAAGCGATCAAAGGGTATGGGGATAAAGCAGGAACAGGGTACGGAGTTGGACAATCAACCATGATCTCATTGAACAGCAGAGCAGGCTTGTAGGGCTGAATGGCTTACTCTTGTTCCTATTTTCTATGTTTCTAATTCTAATCGATAGAATGCAACGGTTGGCTGAATGGTTTGTTTCCATGATCTTCAATATTTAGGATAAAGGGAGTGGTGAAAGATGTACTAAGGATGTTAAGCGAAGGTGCTTTATTCAAATTCTCCACATCCAGTAATGAGCAGGTCAGCAAATACCTGAACAATTACCGGAGTCCTCAGACTTTTTGTTCCCTATGATCTTCATAATTCCATTTCAATTGAAGCATTCAAGAGAGCATTAGATAATTATTAAATAGAGACAACTGACTGAATTTTACCAGGAAAGTGATTAGAAGAACTATTTTTTTTCCTGAGGATTGTGCAACTTTAGATTCTCTGCTTCAGAAAGCATTGGAAGGGAGTTATTCAATGTTTTAAACCAGAACTAGCTAGGTTTTTGTTAGGGAAAAAAATTTAAAAGGGGTTGAACTGAAGTGGAATTTGAAACATGAGCAGCACAGCTATGGTCTTACTGAATACAGAACAGGCTCAAAGGACCAAGGGGACTATCTCTGCTTTAAATTTGAATGTTAATAAGAGGATCCCTGTTGTGTTCTGTCATCTTCAAATGCAGAGTGCACTCAAACATGGAGTAACGTGCTACATCAATGTGGTTGACTACAATGGGGTACATTTTTATTCTTTCATGGGGTGTGGCATTACAGAGGAGATCAACATTTGTTACCCAATTCTAATTGCCCTTGAAGTGGTGATGGTGGTGAGCTAGCCTCTTGAATTTTTGCAGTCATCTGGTATAGCATAGTCCTGATGGGGATCTCCAGGATTTTTATCCAGCCAAGGCACTGTGAATGCTACTAAATATTGTGCAATCATCAGGGGTCATATTGAATTCTGACTTTATGATGGAAGGAAGATCAATGAGGAACTCCTGCAGGTTTGTCCTGGAACTGAAATGGAGGAGTCCAACAAACAACTATCGCCCTTTGTATTAGCAATGTCTCCAACCAGCGGACAGCCATTCGGCTTCCTGTCAATGCTCATTGACTCCAGATTGCCAAGTCTCCTTGATACCATACATTAAATGCTGCCTTGATCTCAAAGGCAGTCATTCTCACCTTTCATCTTGCGTTCACGTTTGAGCCAAAGCTGTAATGAGGTCAGGAGAAAATTAACCCAGTCAGAACCAAACTCAGTATCAGGGAGCAGGTAAATTCTGTGTAGGTGTTACTTGATGGCACTACCAAATACCCTTTCCTTCTCTTTGCTGGTGATTGACAGCAGACTTAGGGGCTATTAATTAGAAGTGTTGGACATACCTAGACAATTTTTCACATTTATCAGTTAAGTTGTACTGGACCAATTTGGCAGCAGTGTGGCTAGTTCTGCAGCAAAGGTCCTCAGTACTGTTGCCAGAATGCTGTCAGGGTCAGTAAACTTTGCAACATTCTGTGCCTTCAGCCATTTCTTCATATCACATGGAGTAAATCAAATTGACTTATGACTGTATCTCAGAGGCGAGGCGACTTCAGGAGAAGGGAGAGGTGGGTCATTCAGCTGCTTAAGACAACTCTCATATTGTAATAGATGGGGAGGGGAGGAGAGGTAGTGTGGAGTTGTGATGGCAGTTGGTACATTGTCTCAAATTTAACTGCATCATGGCTGCTCCCTGGGATCCTTACACATCCTGTCTGCTGAGGTACTGTAATCAGCCATTGATAGCAAAGTAACCTTTTCCCTTAAAAGATGCTCCTAGTTCACATTCTAGTGCCTAGATAGCAATACATGTGCAATAAATGATATCCTCCACAGAAAACCAGCCACAGCTACAAATCCCCATCCACCTCTTGTTAAATGTTAAGGTCAATGAGGAAGATGTATTGCTAAGACTTGTGACCAGGTCAATGACATGATTGATGCAGGTTAGAACTGCAGAACTTGAAGACTGATGTAGCTGATGTCCCCTATATCATACCAAAATGGCAAAGTTATCAAGGCAGTAACTTTTGTAAATTAGTAGCAAAGCATGATCCCATGGTCTAACATGCAAGATGGTAGGCCTTCCTGCAGAAGGCTATAGCCAACTACAAGACAGCCAAAGAAATAAAAACCAAAGAATGGAAGATACTGGAAATCAGAAACAAAATCTGAAATTGCTGGAAAAACTCAGCAGGTCTGGTAGCATCTGCACAGAGAAAGCAGCATTAACATTTTGGGTCCACTGACCCTTCTTCAGAATGGGTCTGCCAGACCTGATTTTTTCTAGCAATCACTGATTTTGTTATTGAACCTGAGAGATCCATCTACAGAGATGAATATCCAAGAAAATGTGTGTGTTCACATGATCGGAGAGTAATTTTAGCAAAGCCCCAACAGCCTGAGGTGGGCATCACTTCTGAATTAAATACTAGCACGGTTGAAATGGCAGTGGCACAAGCACGTCATGAATTCCCAACTCTGGTCCAAGACGTTTTTTTTAAACACCAGCTGCCAGGCGACCAGGGTTAAAATCAGCCTGTGCCATTTCAAAACTTAATTAAAAGAAAGAAATGCACCACTCTCGTCTTCAGTATCTAAAGCATCACAACAAATCACTGTGATTAAAAACACATTAAACAAAGTTAACCATGAAAAGTGTGGTTACTTAACTTCTGTCGCCTGTACCAAAACTAGTCACTGTCAATGCACCAGGAATTCTATCCTCTACTGAATGATGTCTAATGTTCAGTCTCCACCGAACAGTTTAAACAAAGGTGTGTGGCGAGTCTCCCTCCTCCCAAGTAAGTCGTTGGATTTGACAGTGAAGGGTACACGGTAAATGCCGGAAGCCGCTGACTTACCACCAAGTTAACATTGGGCGAGCAGGCCATGATGTCCCTCCTGAGGAAGAGGGTGGGCCCTAGGCCAAACCACCGGTTGCCGGGCTCGTGACGTCACAGCAGGGCCGCCGGCTTGGCGTGACGTCACAAAAAAAGGGCGCTGTGGCGTCACGGAAGTTCGCGTGGTTGCGTCAGTGAGACTCCAGCAGCAGTAGAGCTTGATGGATCAGTTCAGATGGCGG